ACACACACACCCACACACACGCACACACACACACACCCACACCCACACCCACACACATACACACACGCACACACACACACACACACACACACACGCCCAGGCGCACGCCCACACACACACACACACACGCCCACACACCCACACACACACACCCACACACCGACACACCCCCACACCCCCACAGCCTCACACCCCCACCCCCACACCCCCACACCCACACCCACACCCACACCCCCCCTCACTCTCACCCCCACTCCCACACCCACACCCACACTCACACCACACAGACACAAACAAACAAAAACACACATGCACACACACACACACATCTATACATAGTTACATGGTACACATGTTCTGTTGTAGGCCGTTCGAATTATTTCAGTTTGTTTCGTTCCTTCGTTCATAGTTTCATTCGTTCATCCATGCATTCATTCATTCCTTCCTTCGCTCATACGAGCATACATACGAACATAATTACACAGATACGAACAGACACATATGCACACACTCACACAGGTACAGACACACGTGTGCACTCGGAGAGATAGCCCCGCTGATCACGCCTGCACGAGCGAGTGCGAGAAGTATACATTCCCTGATACTATCACATTCTGAATGTACCCGCATGCTGGCAGGCCGGTTGACACTGCGTTTGCAGACCTTTCCCTGCAAACCCCTGCAGCAGGCTTTGTCCTTGTCATGTATCGAATGCGTGAGGAATGTCGGAGTTCCAGATCGGAGCTCTACCGTCATAGAAGCTTTGGCCGAATTCGGGCTCATTTCTTGCTTGTCAAGCCGTTGGTTCCCGGATTCTTTTCGGACTTGCTTGCAGACTCGTCGGCAAGGCTGGAGCCTTTAACTCGTATATAGGCTTTCCAAGCGAGGGGATTTCTACCCCAGCTTGTCACAAGGATCATATCAACTGTCCAGCATCGACGGCGTGACTTGACGGCATTTCGCCCTGGATTTTTGATGGGGACTCGCATCCTTGCATGGGCATTGTTGCTCACCCATATACGCACCGGTTGGGCCAACTAACTGCAGGAAACGCATGATCGGTTGATAGCAAAGGACTCGACATCCACAGCTAAAGCAGAGGTCTGTAGATGAGGAGCTGGCTCAAAAGATCCAGAAGTACAGCAACCGGGCAAATCAGCCGCTTGCCGCGTATCAGCCATGCCTTTGAAGTTTGCGCTGATTGACATCTATTGAGAGGTGCCAGCGTGCCCTGTGATTGCAATGCTTATACTCTCATGGCTGAGGCTACAGTGCCAAGATTCCCGGGGTATGTGGAACGAAGCGATGAGCGACATCCACAAGTGCGCAGCCTTGCTGGATATGCGGGATGGGATTTGTTGGAGACCTCTTTCGGTGTCCGGTCTTTCACCGACCGAACCTTTTCGACAAATTCTGGCATAACTTGTTTCTGTGCTTTTGCGGTCTTGCTTTGGGACCCAGAAACCGGAACGCATGAGGTGGAAAGCCGGTCGGAATGATGAATTTCCGATGGAGCTTGTCGCTTTAGGACTGCATGAGACTGAGAGCAGAAAGGTCTACTGCTTGCGAGACCGCCAATGATCATGAAAGCCAGATGAACCTCCCAGAGCGTACCAAAGCATAATTCTGAGATCACATACGGAAGCCTGCAGTACTACGTTTTGTATAGCAGACTTCAAGCCATTTTGAGCCTTTGAAATGTTCAGGTGCTTATCACCGTTGGCCACTGGCTGGGGTTCAGACCAGGTGCGCCAAGTGTCAAGTTTGACGAAGGGGAAGGTAGCCCATCAGCTTCCCGCAGTCACATGAGGGACAGCTTATTCGAAACTTTTTGCTATACGTTATTAAGACCAGCTTCCAAAGTTGACAGTGTCTTTTGCGAACCATTGCGAACCTGCAGGTCAGCTGATGTTGGACTGGGGTTCGGGCTGTGGTCACAAGTGCCACGGACTGTAACGGGAGTTTTGCGCTTCAGCGGCTTGTGTCGGATGCCGCCTTCCAAAGCTACTATTCTGCCAGTTTCCCTGTGTCGGATCTACGGAAAGTCAGTCTCAGGATGTCAAAGCAACAGGCATCAAAACCTATCATTGCTTCTTTCAGTAAGACAACAGGCTACTCCCAAGGACACTACTCAACCACTTGGCACGACTAGGTCCGTCCGTATCTTCCGCAGGTTCTGTGTGGAACTGATGTCATGACTCTTGCAGGCTCATCTTGCATGCCCTTCAGACCTCTGCAACGCCCTGCAGCAACTGCCCCAAGGTTGTCTTGGGCAAAGATGCTGTTCGACGTGGACGGCTTGGGTGTGGAGATCCAGGCGGGACAGGAAGCTTCAGGCCTCGTGCTAAATGGCTCCTTCCAACACCTGCAATCGAAACCTTCGTCAGCGACAGTTCAAGCCTGAACGTACCCAAACGGTCTTTGACAAGGAGCCAGCGGCACGCTGGGCCCAGCTTTACTCGGCAGGGAAGTTCTGTCAGGGCGATGGCCGAGAGCTGGGATGGATCCCAGAGGTGAGATTAGATTCGGCTAGGTCAGCTAGATGTTCGTGTTTGTTCCAGATTATCCGTTGCACTTCGTCGAGGACCTTCGGTGACTTCATAGAGATATTGACAGTATGTTTCGAGGAGGTTGCTGCACATGCCTTAAGCCAGCCCTCAGAAGCTACAGTAACGAAAGACCTCACACCCCAAAAGCCAAAGCTTTCTCGTTCCGTGGACCTTGGTCGTACACTTTCACCGGAGCCTTGTGTTGCGGAAAACCTTTTTGGCCGGTTTCGTTTGTTTTGTAGGCTTGGCCACTGGCTAATTTGCCGGACGTGCAACATAAGTTTTCAGTCTGCGCAAATGAATGTATATGTGTGCCTCTGTGTGCGTGGGTGTCTGTTTGCGTGCTGCATGAGCAAGAAATGAAATAAGTGAGAAAGTTAGACAACAAGACTGGAATAGCAAGCTACATAAAACGTGTATCGGGGAGTCACTGCTTCGTAATATTTCCAGATTACTCTTCGCTTCTAAGCCCTTCACCAACTCCGCCGAAAGAAAGAAAGGAAGAACGGAAGGGACAGTAAGACAAGTCACAAGGACTGCAAGTGAGAGAGGATGCACAAGTATCTACGTCAAAGAAGATTTGCAGGCATGCAAAATTTAACACTTAACCATGGGTACTAATTATAATTATTCTGTTGTGCATTACGTACGTAGTACGTCTGATGCATGCATACATAGCCAGAGAGAAAGATGCTATAGGCACGAAAGCAACAGGACACCTTCGACTATGTGATCTCGTATGCCTCCATTTATCACCTCACAAAGTTGGACCAATGCCATGAGCTCAGCAGGATTTGGGTTGGATGGTGGTGTGACTGAGGCCATAGTACGATAGGTTCCGGACTTGCGGAGGCTCGGCGGGGGACATGTGACACAAGGGTCTCGGCATGTTTGGGGATCGGAGAGACGTGTCCAGGAATGAACACGAGCAACCGACGACAGGTTTCACTGTCATGCCCGCCAAAGGAGAACGAACATGCATGGCGCTTTGCTGAGATGTAAATTATGTAAATGGGAGGTTGCCTAAAAGAGCGGTTCAGAATTTTACATAAGGTGGCCATAATCATCTTTGGA